TGTATCTATGAGAATGTTTCTGTTCTGCCTGTTCATTTTGTTTGTAGATTCAATTGTTGATAGATATGTATTCATTGCCATTTTGTTTGTTCATATATTTTATCTTTTTCATATAATAATGGTTTGGTGGTGATGAACTCCTTTAACTTTTCTTGTCTGGGAAACTCTTTATATGGCCATTGATTCTAACTGACAGCTTTGCAGGATAGAGTAATCTTGGTTGTAGGTTCTTGCTTTTCATCACTCTGAATATTTCTTGCCACTCCCTTCTGGCCTGCAAAGTTTCTTTTGAGAAATCAGCTGACAGTCTTATGGGAACTCCCTTGTAGGTAACGAACTGCTTTTCTCTTGCTGCTTTCTTTGTCTTGAACCTTTTGCATTTTGATGATGATGTGTCTTGGTGTGGGCCTCTTGGGGTTCGTCTTGTTTGGGACTCTCTGTGCTTCCTGGACTTGTATGTCTGTTTCCTTCACCAAGTTAGGGAATTTTTCTGCTATTATTGTTTCAAATAGGTTTTCAATTTCTTGTTCTCTCTCTTCTCCTTCTGGTACCCCCAAGATGCGGATGTTGGCATGCTTGAAGTTGTCCCAGAGTCTCCTTACACTATCCTCATTTTTTTGGATTCTTTTTTCTTTTTGCTGTTCTGATTGGGTGTTTTTTGCTTCCTTATATTCCAAATCGATGGTTTGCTTCTTGGCTTTACCTACTCTACTATTGAATCTGTGTAAATTATTCTTTATTTCATTTAGTGCCTCCTTCATTTCTGACTGGTCCTTTTTTATGCTCTTGAGGCCCTCACTAAGTTTGCTGAGGTTCTCACTAAGTTCATTGAGCATCCTTATAAGCAGTATTTTGAACTCAGCATCTGTTAGGTTGCTTATCTCCATTTCGCTTAGTTCTTTTCCTGGAGATTTTTTCTGTTTTTTCATTTGGGACCTGTTTCTTTGTCTCCTCATTTTGGCTGTCTCCCTGTGTTTGTTTCTATGTATTACTTAACGAGAAGTATGGGGCTCGCTGAGACCAGATGCTGCTTGTTTGAAAGAATTTAGGAAAAACCTGAAGCAGGATCCAAGACAGGCCAATCCTATGATAAAGCAACTGGCAACAGCTTGGGTAGGCCTGAAAGTTGGGTGGGGCGGGGCCTCAGGGAATCAGCAGGGCGGGGCTACCAGTGTGAGCCATGTTGCTGGAGTCCTAGATATCGTGGCTGTCTGCCGCCCCAGGGAAGGGTTCACCAAAGGAACAAAGGCCTCTGACTACACATCTGTCCCAGAGAAAGCCCCCTCTCCAGCCCTCGCTCCAATGCCAAACAGCTCAGTTCTTCCCTGTATGTCTCTGGCGCCCCTCGAGCTGCCTCCCCTCCAAGCTTAGAGGGAGTGAGTCCGATAAGTCCGTGCGCGGGCCCTTTAAGAGGAGCTGCCTGGGGCTTCTGTCGCCTCAGCCTCCCTGAGCCTCAGTTCCTGCTGGTTTTTCCAGCCAGAAGTTATGGGGATTCTCTTTCTGACACTAGAACCCTGAGCGGGGCACCTGGTGTGGGACGGGGACCCCTCAGTCCTCAGGAAGGACCTTCCCAGCCGAGGTGTCCTGATTTTTATCCGCCACATGTGGGTGTGGGGCCAGCCCGTCCGCCTCCGTCCCTCCTACCAGTCTGGATGTGGCTGCTGCTTTAATTTCGTAGTTGTAGGACTTCCAGTCAGCTTGATTTCAGGCGGTTTTGAGTGATGGTTTTCTGTAGTTTGGTTGTAACTTCGATGTGGTTGTGGGAGGACGCGATACCCATTAACCTATGCTGCCATCTTGACCAGAAGTCCTTTTCATAGTTTTAAGTGGTGCATTTTATTTTATGAAATGGTAGACCATGATTGACTTAGATGTTTTCTTATTATCCCATTGTCAAACATGCAGGTGCTGCTAATATTTGACTTTTATAACTAACACTGCAATAACCTTTGCTATTCATTTGGACTCAAATAAATAGTTTGTTCATGATTCAGATATGATTCAGCTGGGGATGAAGCAAAAAGATGGATACAGTGTCTTTAAGTAAAGTATTAATATACATTGGAGGAAAGCTAAACTTGCCTAATTAACAAATGATTTAGGCATTATTTATGAATAGCTACTTGTAATTTAAATTTTTCTTCATTGAATTGCTAAGGTAGATTACAGTCGAGTCTTCAGTCAACATTTTGCTTAGTCATGCTTTTTAAAAAATTTAATTTAATTTTTTTTTTGGTACAGATGTTTCTTCTTTTCCCCTCATTGACATCCTCCTCCCTATCCCCCCAAGCATTGTTGTCTATGTCCATGGTTACACATACATGCATATAAGTTCTGTGGTTTATCTCTTCCCTTTCTTCACCCCTGTCCCCCTCTTCTGAGGTTTGTCAGTCTGTACCCTACTTCTATGTCTCAGTGCTTAGTCATTCTTTTTTTTTATGCTCACCCGAGGGCATTTTTGCATTTATGTTCAGATAGAGCGTGAGGGAGAGAGGGAGGAAGAAAGAGAGAGAAACATTGACATGAGAGAGACACATCGACTGGTTGCCACCCACACGACCCCAACCAGGGCCGGGGACAAACTGCAGCTGAGGTACGTGCCCTTAGCTGGAACTGAACCCAGGACTCTCCAGTCCGTGGGCCGATGCTCTAACTGCTGAACCAAACCAGCCAGGGCTAGTCATTCTTTATATAATCTATAAAAGGCTGTCTAATGGAATTTTTGGGATGATGAAAATATTTCTTATCTGACCTAATATGGTAGCTAATTAGCCACATGTGACTATTGAACACTTGAAATGTGGATAGTGCAACCAAAGAACTGAATTTTTAATTTCATCCAATTTTAATGGACTTTAATTTAAATAGCTATTTGTGGCTGGTGGTTACCATATTGGATAGTGCTATTCTATGAAGGTGATGACTAAACATTTTTATAGTGCTTTACCTTTTTCTAGACACTATTCTACACGCTTAACATTATTTTAAAGAAATATTTTTTCTTCATTGATTTTTAAAGAGAGGAAAGGAGAGAGAAAAATAGAAATATCAGTGAAAGAGAATATCAATTGGCCACCTCCTGCATGCCCCCTACTGGAGATTGGGCCCACAGCCTGGGCATGTGGCCTGATAGGGGATCGAACTGGTGACCTCTTTGGTGCATGGGTCGACACTCAACCACTGAGCCACACTGGCCCGGCTACATGCTTAATATATTTAATCCTCATAGTGACTCCATGAGGTAGTCTTTCAGTTACTAGTGCTGTAGAACAAATTACCTTCAAGCTTCGTGGCTTAAAACAACAATCATTTATTTTGTTTGGGAATCTACAATTTGTTCATCAGACATACCTCATTTTTGCTCCATGGAGCATCAACTGGGGCTATAGGATCTACTTCTAAGATGGCTCAGTTACATGATTGGCAAATTGATTACTGTTACTGGTTTATCTCCTCAGGGCAGCATGAGCTTCCTAACAGCATGGTGTCTGGGTTCCAAAATTAAATGCACCAAAGAGACAGGAAGTGGAAGCTGACAAAGCATCACTTCCAACATGCTCTAATTGTCAGGCAAAGCACAGAGTGTGTATTCAAGGGGAGGAGGTGTAGACCTTACCTCTCCATGGGAGCTATATCTAATTGTTTGGGGCCATGTTTTAAAATCATCATAGAAAGGTACAGTCATTTTGACACCTTTTTACAGATAAGCAAACTGAACACAGAGCATTTAAATAACTTGCCCAAGGTGACAAACTTAAAAGTGGCCAAGCTGATATTTATGCCAAGCAGTCTTGACCTTTTAACCTCAGTGTGTATATTGCATCTCTCCCTAATTCATGTTGCACTTATTTAGATTTATATCTTTTCCAGTTTTTTTCATGGTAGAATAATTATGACATTATTACTGATACATGTTTGTAAGTGACAAACACCGTAAATATGTAGTATTTGCAAGGGTTTGCTGGATGTCAGATTAATGGTGAGGACAACATTCTTCTCCACCTGATTCAGGAAGAGCTGTTTGGCTCCAATTCTCAGCCCCTCTGCTTTCACCCCTGTTTCCTACTGCTCCCCAAAGAGAATTTGTTATCACTCCCAGATTGAAACAGAGTATGATTCTGAGTAAAACCCTCTCAGTCTTAGCATGCTGCCTGCTGCACCAACTCCTAGTGTATGGAAAATGTGTTAGTAAAAAGGAATCAATAAATAAAACTTATTTAGAATTATAAAAGGAGTTAAAGAAATGTTTCTGGTTTTTACTGAAAGTAAGGCATGAGCCAAATCCTAGTTTAGGTGATATATTTCTATATGTTTAGTATGCGCATTCATTCATTCATTCATTCATTCATTCATTCATTCATTCTTTTGATTCTTGGAAGAGAAATCAGAAAAAAATACAGGTTAAAAAAATATATAGGTTATCTGAACTTCTAGAGGTTATCTCATAATGAATGCAGTCTCTTAGAAACCCAAGAAACCAGCAATTTTCTTTCATGTTCAAGTTCAAAGATAATGGCTATTTCTGTGAGAGAGAGAGGTAGCCCTTTGTTCTAAGCCCCCTGCTTTGCAGATCAGGCTCCTGTTTACACTGTTTGCTGCAGTGATGAAATGTCATTTCACATCAGCTATTTGTCCCCCATGTAATTATTACAATAAAATTTTTTTTGCCCACTAAAATACTCTTGAGAGAGCTTGAAATTAAATGTATCTTAGCTTTCCAATGTCTGGGTTTCTTAGGCAACATGTATGAATCTTTTTGATGTAGAAAACCTCATTTTATCACTTCATAATCTGAGTATTCCAGATGATGAGACTTCATTTTCATCAAAGCCTACATTTTTCTTTAGTCCTCATCCTATCTGACCCCCTCCTTTGTTTGAGAATTCTCTCTGCATTTTGTGTCCATGAACTGGTACTTTGCTGATTTTCTACACAGTTGGTTCTTTCTCTGTTACCTTAATCGGCTATATCTTACTAAGGTTACTTACTTTCCTGTGTAGGAGCCTACCTGGCATCCATCCATTGGCCCTCCAGATATGCAACTGCCTCTGGTGTAAGTCCATGTGATACCTTGACATGTCTAAAAGCAGATTTCTTCTTTTCTCCAAAAGTTGACCTCTTCCTAGCTACCCTATTTTTGAAGTCATAAAATAGGGCCCCACTGGCATTTTTTTCTCCTGGTGCCCCATGCCTATCTTCCATGGCATTTCTCCCAATCTGTCATGATCTGCCCACCTGTGACATGTTTAGTGGCTGTTTCCAACCCTACCCTACAAGCTCCAAGATGGCACTGGCCAAACTATGTTATTTATCACTCTCTATAGCCAGCTCCCAGCAGGGAGCTTTTCACATAATGGGCATGCCATCAATGTTAATTTGGATCAGTGAATAAATAAACCAACGCATATGCCTTCATTTTTATGTTTGCACCCCTGGCCAAAATCTTAATGCCATCCTGGATTTCCCCCTTTTCATAGTCTACTTGTCAGTTTGCTAAATCCTCCTCGGAAGCTTCCTGAGACAAGGGTCTTTGTTCTTTTTTCCCAGTGATATTTCACAAGTGCCTTGAAACAACCCTAGCCGGGTGGGTAGGTATTCTTAGTGTGTCCATTTCTCAGTGAAGTGGAGGCATTGTTTCTGTCATTGTTCAATGTCACTTCTGAGTCTGTGCTGATAATACCACCCAATGACTATGTGTTTGCTCTGTGCTGGACACTTCACTAACTTTACTTTTATTCCATGCTGTGTAGGTACTCTTACAGATGAAGAAGCAGAAGATGACTTAGAGAGGTTTTAAAAGGAATTATCCAGGGTGGGACCCAGTTTATGAGTAGCAGGGACAGGATGGCACTATGTTAGCCCAAACCTGGGCCCTCACCTTGTTGTCTAAACTGCCAGACCCACCAGAGTCTGCATGGCTTGTGGCTTTGGGAACAGAGCTGGGTTTAATGAGAGCACTTGCCAAGGCCGTCGGGTTTTCCTTGCTCTCTGCAGACATCTAACGCAGCCATACATGTCTTCCCGCAGACAATGGTGGCAGCCACACACTGCACTCCAGAACAGAGACGACACCATCGCCCACTGACAATACTGGGAGTGGACACCCAGAGTATATTGCGTATGCGCTTGTCCCCGTGTTCTTCATCATGGGTCTCTTTGGCGTCCTCATCTGCCACCTGCTTAAGAAGAAAGGCTATCGTTGTACAACGGAAGCCGAGCAAGATGTGGAAGAGGAAAAGGTTGAAAAGATAGGTGAGTAATCTGGATTATTTTCATGAGAGTGTGGGTGGGGACACTTTTCAAATATGAAACCAGTCCTCTCTATATTTCATCCCTGTGAGGCAAGGTGATCCGTGTTAACTGCAGATGTGTGCTGAGAGTCAGGGTAGATGTCAGTAACCACACCTAGTGTTTGAAACCTGACTTTCACTTGCTAAATTCCTACCAGAATTACTCTTACTTGCCTTGTGGCCTTTGGCAAGTTTCATATGCTTTGAATCTCTGCTATGTATTAATATAACTGAAATTTAATTTTAATTAATTTAATGCCAATTTAATTAAATTAATTAAAATTTTTATTTCATTTATATGAGCATAGTAATCTCTGCCTCGTAGGATTATTGTGAAATTTCGAGAGAAGATGATGTGGTGTGTGACACAAATGACCACTCAGTAAATATTAATTCTTACTACTATTTTTGGAATTATAGTCTAATTAAAATGATGGGAAAACTCAATAGACCTCACCATTATAGGGGTATTGCTTTTGGTAGGGGAGTTCTGCCTTGAATCTACGAGGTTAGAGTTTATGTTGTTTAAATTAATGATTGTGTGAATAGTGCAGTATAAGAATGGCCAAAATGGTGCCTTAGTATTACCTTTAGGGTGGCTCACCTTTTCCTCTCAACACGGAGTTGTTGGGTAGTATTTAGAAACACCTAAGAAATTCTGTTTTCTCCACAGATGTTCTTTCTAACCATCTTTTAGGGGAATTTTCCGACTTGACTCTTGGGAAACTGTAGACAATTCTCCATATCCCTTTCTTTCAGCTTTCAAAGGGCAGTTTTTGCAGAAGGTGACATTTGGAGTAAGTAGGTCACCCTTCAAGCCAGCCCAAGGGTGGAGTGGGGGGAGCTTCCTCGTTCCTTGCCAGCTTGCTGGCCTGTTGGTTTTTCCCACCCCCACTGACCTTTGAGGCAGAGAAAGAACACGGTGGCAGGATGAGTCATGTGCAGGCTTATGAGCAAACCAAAGCTGGGTGTTTGTCAACAGAAAGCAGAGCCTCCCCTTCCTCTCCTTCCTAGATGCTCGGTAGGTTGGCTCAGCATTTGCACTGTCCAATGAAACACATATTCGTGGAGGAGGAAGCCGTCTGTGATGGAGAAGACAGTTTTCTAGATACGAGGGTAGAACATCACACACCTTGATTCATCATCTCTGAACGAGGATGGAGTGTTTCAGTCCTCCCTCTTCCTTCTTGTTTTATTGAAACAAATTATATGGACTGGTTTCAGAGAAGAGGTTTTATTTTCTTTTTTTCCAAAGACTATCCCATATAGAGTCTCCCAAAGTAAACTGAGTTTGTGGGCAAATGACCATGGCCAAAATTTAGATAATTTGGAAGGGTATTTGAAAGAAATGAGTTTTATAAACATGGATGAGTATTATATTACCCAATTTAAAAAAGAAATTAAAACCCTGCATCTGTATAGTTCATCTGCAATTAAAATAATCCAAGAAGAATGTTTTTTTTTTTTTTCAATTAGCTTTCTTCCATTTCCCCTAAGGGTTTTTTAACAAAATATTGAGAGAGAAATAATAGTAATATGGACTGATATTGATGCATAAAATGGGTGTGTTGGAGAGTAAGTGGGTGTTTGGACTTGTGAAGAGACCGATGGACAACTTTGACACTCTTCACATGTGAGGCCCAGGAAGCCAGTGTGTGCTCCGCTTCACGCAGTTGGGGGCTGAAGGAAGGAAGCCGAGATTCTTAGCACCACGACTGATCGGCTAAGTTTTCTGGAGACTGTTCGAGTAAGGTCTTGGGCTCAAAGACTGGATGTGTCATTGACTTGATGCAGGTGACCAGCTGTAACCCATCGTTCCCTCCCCTTTCTCTTTCAGAGTTGAATGACAGTATAAATGAAAATAGTGACACTGTTGGGCGAATTGTGCACTACATCATGAAAAATGAAGGTATGGCTGTTTTAGTGTTCTGGGACAATTCAATATTCATATATTTTTATTAAAAACCTGCTTGGAAGAGTCAGGATTTGTATGGACTCACCTGTCAATTTTCTGAAGTTATCAGCAGCACCTTTTACCTAAGCTCAGTTTCCATCATTGACCAACCATGAGCCTTTCAGATAAGTGAGTTTTCTAAGAATCAGTTGGTCTGAGGGTTGCAGGGTCAGCCCTGGAGGTGATGATGGCTTACCTTCCAGTCCTGGCCTCACCTCATTTTGGGGAAAGTCCATTACCTCAGTTCCTCCTCAGTAAAAGAAGGCAACAGTGACCCTTAGCTCATCACTTTGTGTGACAGACCGCACATAAAGTTTAGTACAATAAACACTCAAATAGTAGCTAGTCATTTTTTATGCTTTAAATAATTTATGATGAAATATATATAATGTAAAATTTACAATTACATCCATTTTAAAGTGCATAATTCATCAGAATTAAGTATATTCACGGTGTTGTACAACCAGCACCCAGCAGATGGGCTCTCAGCTAATCTAAAGAGTGACGAGGGTGGGGGTCGGAGGGGTTATATAACCCCTGTCTATAGGTTTCAAAATTCCTCTGCTGAATATTTTGGTACTAATTAATTCTCAAGGTCCCTTTTTACTTTGTTGTGGCCTTCCCAGAATTCTTGAGAAGCACCTGGCAATTTTATCTTGTCAAACTTTGAGCCTGCTGGCTTTTCTACTTAGGGAGTAAAAAATAAAACTGCCCTTTTTTTTTCCTCCTTCCTAAAATGCTGATTTCTTTGTTTAGTGGGTGAGAAAGACTCCCCCCATTTTTTCCTGCATTCTTTTGTTAGGGAGGCTTTTAACCATTTGCTCTTAAGTATCCTTGGCTGGAGAAGATAATGGCTTGTTATTTGCAGACCAGCTGCCAATTGCCCACACTTTTGGCCTTGTTTTAATTGTCCTGTCTCAGTTTCCCTATTCCTCCTGCCCTAGGATTTTCCTAGATTCTTATCACTCTGTGGCAAAAGTACACAGTTTGGATAGTTTATAAAACTCTAGACACATTAATGCATTAAATTCTCAGAACTACCCTATGAGATAGGCCCTATTTCCACCCTATCTTTCAGATGAGGCTCAGAGAGTGAGAAACTTGCCCAAAGTCACACAACCAGTATGTGGCAGGACCATGCCAGCAGGGCCCTTCTCATGGTTACAGCATCTGAGGAGCAATGGGTCCCAGAGCAGGCATCCTCACCTCCCACACTCAAGGGCAAATAGATCTGTTCTTTTCTTTTTAATTATGTCCCGTCCTTTTGGAGAGTAGCCTCTGTTTCAGCCGCATTGATTCCCAGTAGGTATGTCAGGGTAATGCCCAAGGCACTGTTTTCATTCTTTCTCTTCTGTTCCCTTCTGTCTGATTCTTTACCCTCTTCCTCTGTCGATGCCTTCAACTCTCTGCCTGTGATTTGGCCAGTGACCTGTGAGAATGGGTGGTGGTGGTGGGATTCTGATCCTTTGTGTAGCCCTTGGTCCTCCTTGGCCACGAGGAGACATCTGATCTCACAGGACACCCCTGTCCTGGCTGTGGCCCTCTCTAGCTTCCAGCCTGCTCTCAAACTGCAGCTGGGAGATTAATTATGTACTGGGGTCTCTTACCAGTTTCAACTGAGCTTTTTCGGTTTGCCTTTGAGGTCTAAATCCTCTATAGAAGAAATTCATTTTTATATTTCCTTTGTCTCTGTCATTAAGAGATTCTGAATGTACTATCAATTTAGACATCCCTGTTGGTGTTAATTTAACTTTAATTCTTTTTAATTGTTAGCACTCCATGGCATAACCTTTAACATTGAAAAAAAAAAAAGGAATAAAATGAAGTTACAGTTCATCCAGTACCATTCCCCATGTTTATTTGGGTTTACTTTGCCTATATTTACATATTTTAAACCATTTGCAATTATGATGTATGATTAGTCTTCTGCTTTGCATTTTTAATTTGGCTGTAGTGGGTAATAGTTCACCTGGTAATATTTCATGGTAACAGTCTTGTTTATGGTTTAAACACATCATGTCTTGTATGTTGCAAATCAGGTTAGTTTAGATAAGTATCTCTTGAAGGATGCATTTTTCAGCAGACCTGAGTACTGATTATTTTCCTCCTAATCTCAAGTCTTGGATTAACTATAGTGCTACCTCTAAGTTTTCTTTCTAAGTGAAGCTGACTTGAAGAGTGTTTGCGAGGTCATTGGGTCTTTTGCATTATGGAGATTGGAAAGTGGTTGCGACTCCATAGCTGAGCTTCTGATAGAGTAACGATGAGGAGTATGGCTGTTATTCTCCTCGTGCCCCTGACTATTCACACAGGCAGAAGGATCTCTTTGTGAAAGTCTTACTGCAGTTTATATTATGGTAAAAAGGACTCCTTTATAAACTATTGTAGGTCTCTGAAACTTGCTCTGATGGTTATGGAAATATCCTGCCAACTATTGAACTATTTGGGGTACAAACCTGGAAGAGTAGGAACACCAGAGTGACGAAGAGTTTGTGTCCAGGCCTGTCATTGCCTGTGTGGCTCTGACCAGCCAGTTATCAGCTTTAGGCTTCAGTCTCTGTATTTGTAAAATGGGGATGGTAATTCTACCTACTATTAGGATTGTCAGGAGAGTCACACATGGTAAGGTCTGTCAAGCTTTTAGCCAGTGACTGGCACACACCTTATTTTGCCGATGGCAGTAGTAGCTCTTGCTAAGGAAATTCGCCTTGACAGTAAGGGAGAACATTGAAGAGAGTAGCGGCGGGAGAGAAAACAGGGCTTTTTATTTCTTGCCTGATTTCATTTGTGCTATGCATGTTACTAGGCAGAAAGGCAGAGAAGAAGAGAAGACGCATTTCCTGGAAATTACCGCCCACGAAAAAATCTCCCCTGTTCTTGACGGGTTTTCTTTTCCTTCCTATCCTCTGGAAACCCATGAAGGGAAGTGTATTTGGCAGAATGCTGACAAGTGTAGGGGAAACCGTCTTTCAGGGCTTTTTGGAGTTATGACTACTGTGCAAGGAGGAGAGATATATTCAATAGAATTTAATTAGATTATTGCTCTTTTATGGTACTTTTGCAATCAGATTAAAGCACGTGTGTAAGTCCTAGTGATGGTGTTATGTTCGAAAGTTTTCTCATCACAGGAAAGCAAAAATGTTCCCAAGGGGCAGATTATTGAAGTTCACTGCCTGGTATAGCCTGGAACTTAGACTAGATACAAGAGTATGTGTGTGTGTGTGTGTGTATGTGTCCATCCCGCACACCAAACCTTCCCAGCCAGGGTATGGATGCTATTTGCAACAAATTTGTGTTTATGCTTACAGACTTCACTCATAGTGAGTGGCTGTTTACTAATTATTTGTACATGATAAGGATGGGGTACAAGGTATATGAATGCATGAAGAACAATACAAGTCTATAAAAAACAAGTTTTAGTAATGACTTTAATATATTTTAACAGTCTTCTGGAATCACTGTATAATTCAGTGTTTCTAAAGGAGATCATCATTCTATAGGTTTCAAAAAACCTTTGGTTTTTGAAAACCTCATTCTTGTGAGTGCCATTAGTGCCGTCTTTGTCTTTACACCTTTTCTTGGTGTTTTTATCCCTCTTTTCTGTTTCTAGTTCTGAAGATTGGTAAATTATGGCAGAGCATAAATGTCAACTAGCAAATTATTGTGTATTCTCTAAACCCTTTATCTGAATTACTTTTGTGAATCTTCAATATTAGTCAGAAGGAAAACTGAGTGATAGCACTAGAATATACTTGAGTTTGTCTCTCAGGGCAAGGCGTCTTCTTTGTTGTGTGGGAGAAGACACTGACTAGCCAGTTCAGTACTTTTTTGTCACGACAACAGTCTTATTTAGAGCAAAACTTGTGTGAGGGCACCCTCTTAGTCATAAAAGGCTTCTTTTAGAAAAGAGTAATATATTGTGTTAATATTTCTTAAAAAACAACCCATGCATTTTCAAGGGTTGTGATGGGGTGAAAATTAGATTGTGGGGGCAGAAAACTTAATATTTATAAAAAACACATCTACGTATAGTGAACAGCATTTCTGATGTGACGTATCTGTGGTGCTGTCATTTCACGGGAGGCGATTGGGACGAAGATGCCAGCAGGGGCTCCTGGGTGGCAGCGATGAGAAGAAAGAATCACCGTGCAAACCCTTAACTGTTAGTGAGAAGCGGTCGGAACCAGCGTTCATTTCCCTCCAGTCGGAGAGGCATTTGAGGTGTTTAATGTCAAGTGTTGGTGTTAGCTCACATGATAAATGGTGACTTTTTATTCTTTTTTCTCTAGAGGATATGTTGTTGTCATGAGAACAGTGCTTTACAAATCAATGGAAAGTTTAGGAGTCAGTAATAACATTTGTCCTTGCCAGTTACATATCCCAGAGAAACTTGAACATCTCTTCAATCTTTTATCCCTGGGAGCAGGCCCACTCACTCTAGAAGAGGTGCAAGACCCCTGTCTGCTTGTAGCTTAGGTTCAGTTTGCTTTTGTTGACAGCCATATACAAAATGCATTAAAAAATTAACATTAGGAGTGTAACTGAACTTAGTCCGTATTAGGTAACTTGTATGTATGAGTGCACTTGAAATTTTAAGCCATCTGGCCTGAGTTAAGGTCCTGTGTGGTCAGGAGGCATAAGGAAGCCAACGGCCCACCTGGAAAATTACATGTGGGATAAACTTGAAACTACATGGGTATCCAGAGTTTAGGCACAGAGGAATCGTTAGCATACAGGTCTCCGAAGTCCTATTTTATTACATTACTTACTGAATGCAGTGGGGCATGTAAATATTCCCTTCGGTATGAGAGGAGGAAGACATGTCTTCTCTGTTACGTTGTGAGGATGTGTAGGGAACAGCTCTCTACCGGACCTGCTTTCTTCTGTCACTCAGTCCTATTTCCCATGTGGTGAAAGTTGTTGGCAGATGGTGCCATGTCGTGAGGTTACCTTGGGAAAGACCCTCCCTCCTCAGGGGCCCCAGGGCCTCACCTGTGAACTGAAGGAACTCAGTTAGGTGTTTTTCCAACAGCATTTCTGATGTGATAATTCTGTGATTACTTATCTTTCTCATGCTATTTTAATTCTTGACATTTTTTTCCCCTTAGCAAACGCAGATGTTTTAAAGGCAATGGTGGCAGATAACAGCCTGTGTGATCCTGAAAGGTGAGTGCTCCTCCCCCCATGTATGGGACATTTTTCTCAGTTGTCTGCTAGAACAGGTTTCCCAACTTTGACACTGTTGACATTTGGGCCAGATAATTACTTGCAGGGGAACTGTCCTGTGCACTGGGGTGTTTGACAACATTCTTGACCTCCACTCACTAGATACCAGTGTCCCCCTCCCTCCAAAATGTCCTGGCGCATTGTTGGTGTCCCCTGGAGCCAGACTCACCCTGGTTGAGTACTGTTGTGGTAGAGGATGGTGATGGGAGAAAGTAGCAGCCTTGGTTCCGGGGACCTGGGTTGAGTCTCACCTCCATGACTTACTGAGCATCTTCTTGGGGAAGTAAACTGACCACTCTGAGCTCAAGGTCAATGTCCTATAAGATGGAGAGAACCACTGCACCCACTTCATTGGGTTATTATAAGGAATATAAAATATCTCGGGCATTGAAAGACCTTCAGGAACAATAACAATTAATGGAAAACAGGACTGGTTTGGGGGCATCTGCTAAGTTCTGTTTTTGGTTGTGTTTGTTGAGCATCTTAGTCCTTCTTAATTAAAGAACTGTATTTCTTCATCTTCTTTTTAATCCTCACCCAAGGATATTTTTCCATTTTTGTTCAGATGGAGTGGGAAGGAGAGAGGGAGAGAGAGAAACATTGATGAGAGGGAGAGAGAGAAACATTGATGTGAGGGAGACACATTGACTGGTTGCCTCCTGCATAACCCCAGCCAGGGCCTGGGACAAACCGCAAGGGAGGTGTGTGCCCTTGACCGGAATCAAATCCTCCACTCATTGGTCTGTGGGCCAACACTCTAACTGCTGAGCCAAACCAACCAGGGCAAAGAACTGTATTTCTATATAATTTTTTATTTCTCCAATAAGGAGCATTTATTGAGTGCCTGCTGTGCGCTGGGTACTGTGCTGAAACTGGGTATTCCAATCCTTGCCATGGAGGACTCAGTCCAGTGGGGAGTGGAGAGGTGTGTGAGCCCTCATGGCGGAGCACACATGAACTGTAGAAGTAAAAACCAGGTGCTTGAGGGGCTCCGTGGGGCTGTCAGGAGTCCAGAGAAGGTTCCAGAGAAGTGCTATCTGAGTCAGGCATGCAACAAGCAGAGACAAGAGGCAGGGGCTGCTTGTAGGCAGAGAAAGTCCAGGAGAAAAGGCCCTGGATTATAAAAATGTGGAACACACCTGGAAAGGTTCAGTCTAGGGTCGCCAGAGAATGTGGACAGTAGCGAGAAGGCCAGGAGGGCATGTTGGGATTGAGTGACATGGCAAGGAGTATGGACCTTTTTCTGCTTACTCTGTGGGTGATGCACCCAGCATATTTTTTCTTCAAGCAGAGATATATTAATTTCGAGAGAGAGAGAGAGAGGAAGATGGGAGGAAGAGAGAAACCTCAACGTGAGAGGAACACATTGATTGGCTGCCTCCTGTACGGCCCCTACCCAGGGATGAGCCCACAACCTTTCGGTGCACGGGATGACGCTCAACCAACTGAGCCACACCAACCAGGGTGCACCCAGCATATTTTAAATATTTAATACATGCTTGTAAAACTGGCCAGTTCTCTTTTCACTTTAGCAAGGTAACTCAGTACAGGAAGGTCAGCTTAGGAAGCTCTGGTGGTGTCATTCACAGAAACATGAGTGGTGGTTTCTTCCACATTCTAGCTCTGAGTGCAGACACCTGATGTTAGGACTGGGTTAGCGCATGGTATCTTTGCCTCTGTCATCTTTGTGCATCACGTGGTGCCTTCACTGGGTTTTATACCTAGCAGGTACTTGATAAATGTTTGTTGAATGAATGTTGTTAAACTTTTTAATTCAACCTTGTACTAAGTGGTGTTAATTTAACATTGTTTTGCCCCAGAAAGCTGCTGCTGTGTGTTTGTATTTTAACACTATAGGGAGCATTCCTAAAGAGCACCAGGAAGCTCTTGGTCATCTGTGATATTTGAGAGTATCTTTTCAGCCATGGGCTACACTTCTTTTTAATGTGAAAGTGAGCTGTTTCAGCAGCATAAAGGCTGGTTTGTGCAGTCATGGTCTTCCGTGTGTCTTTGGGGCTCTCGGCACAGTCTTAGGTGTGAGACTCTGCTGTGACTTATCGCCTCACCTATACCCACCTACACCCACTTATAACCACGTCGAGGGCTGGTTTTCTGTCAGGCTGGCCCTGTCCTGTTTTAATTCCTCCTTTTCTAGTGGACCAGAGCCTTGACATGTGCCTTTTGAAAGTAGCCAATCCCTGGCCTGTGTACTTCTGCTTTTTAATATTTTGGATGGTCTGGCTGGATTTCTTCCAGATTATCAAGGTGATCTCCCTGTTTCTGAAGTACTATGTAATGATTAAGATCGTGGTTTTTAGAATTAGACTTCATAGATTTGGACCTCAGATCCATTACTTATTAGCTGTGTGATCTTGGGTAATTTATTAAACTTCTCAGAGCCTCAAAGTTTTAAAATGAGGAAATTGATACCTACTTCCTAAGGTTCTGTAAAGATGAATTAAATTAACATATATCAAATGTTTAGAATACTATGTTAGCTATTTTTATTATTACTATTATCAACTCGAGCATTTCTTTTGAATATTACTTTTGATATCTTGACCTAAAAAGCTTTCTTTTTCCTCACCCAAGGAGAGTGATTTTTTTTTTTTTTTTTTTTAAGAGAGAGAGAGAGAGAAAGATGGATCTGAGAGAAACATCGATTGGTTGCCTCTCATACATGCCCCAACTTGGGACTGAACCCGCAACCTTGGTATATGCCCTAACTGGGAATCGAACCCGTGAACCTTTGATGTATGGGACAGTGCCCCAAGCAACTAAGTCACAATGGCCAGGGATAAAAGCTTTGTTTTTTTGATGCAGTAGTCAACTGGTCAGATATTCTATCTTAAGTCATTGGATAATATGATTGGAATTTAAGTTTATCAATTCTTCAGGGCATCTCTTTGTTTAAAACTCTATGCAGGCACTTGGCTCTGTGTGAGAAATTAGTATGATGGCAGGAGAGTGGAAGTCACTTGTTTAGAAAGAAACCTGATACTTTAAAGACAAACGGTGCATCATCTTTAGGAGCCACTGCTTCCCAGCCAGTTAATTCCATTCTCTAAGTGATAAATCACATTACTGCTGATCAAAATGAGCTGTCATGCAAAGTCATGAGAGTTATTTGCTCTCTAAGACCAGTACACAAAGTTCATTTGCTTAATTGGAAGAGGCACTTTTAAATTTTGATTCAAATCTACTTTTGTGGCAGGGGGAGAGATTGCCTTAGCTGGTGTTTCTTTTAAGTAATAAGTTCTACCTTTTTTTGTTTTCTTTCTACCTTAGCCCAGGGACCCCCAGCACTCCTGGGAGCCCACCTTTGAGCCCTGGGCCCTTGTCACCAAGTGGCACCCCAGGGAAGCACGTCTGTGGCCACCATCTGCATACAGTGGGCGGTGCTATTGAGAAGGATGTGTGTCATCGGTGTCGGCACAAGCGATGGCACTTCATAAAGCCCACCAACAAGTCCAAAGAAGGCCGCCAGAGGCGTCAAGGAAAGGTCACCGTCCTGTCTGTGGGCAGGTAAGATTCTGCATTTGTGTAGCGTGGCTGCTGTGCTGTAGGGATCTGTACTGAACTGTGAATCAAAGTATGTTCTCAGCCTGGGACAGGTCAGATCTCTGGACTTTTTAGGAGTTTTGTTCTGAGTTCTGTATTTTTCCTGCAGCAGAGGAATCCTAAGAGGTGGCTATTGCTAGATCAGATGTCAGATGTATTAATTGAGGTAAAAAATCAATTACTTCTTGTATTAGGGTTCTCCAGAGAAGCAGAATTAATAAGATAGATAGATATAGATATAAATAAGAGGATGTTAATTATAGGAATTGGCTCATGTGATTATGGAGGCTAAGAAGTCCCTGGGTCTGCTGACTGTGAGCTGGAGACCCAGGAGAGCTGCTGGTGTAAGTCCCGATCCCATTCTGAAGGCTTGAGGACCAGTAGGGCTGGGGTCGAGGGCAGGAGAAGACATATACCCCGACTCCAGCAAAAAGAGCAAGTTCACCCTTCTTTTGCCTTTTTGTTGTATTCAGATCTTCAAGGGATTGGTGGATGCCCACCCACACTGGGGATGGTCTTCTTCTTTCCTCAGACTACAGATTAAATGCTAGTCTCTTCCGGAAACACCCTCACAGACACACCCAGAAATAATGTGTTACCAGTCAGGTTGACACATAAGATTGACCATCACCCTTGCTGCAATAGCTAAAGCCCAACCTCAACTCTTTGCAATATAGAAGTTTGTATTTTGCGTGTGGAGATGGAAAGCGGTCATCTGGAGGCCGGGCTCTGCCCAGCGTCGGCCCTGCCAGGCTTGCTAGCAGAAGGAAGAAGTTCCCGGAGGGTTGCTCAGGTCTGGAAGTGGCGTATTTCGTTTCACTCACATTCCACCGTCTGGAGCTTAGTCACTCAGCCACACCTGATTGCCAGGCCACTGGCAAATGTCCAGCCATGTGCCAGGAAGAAAAGCGATAGAGCTGGTCCACCACTCTCCAGTCTGTCACCTGTGAGCTCCATGTGATTCCTGAGCCTGTGTTCTTTTAGCTCACCTCACCTGAGTCCTGGGTCTCCCAGTCCTCAAGTACCATTTGTTTGTGACTCGTGATGTGGAGATCTTACAGTTCAAGTAATGAGTCAGTTTGACTGTGCAGAGCATTTTTGCGATGCCTGCTGTTTTGACTTTGAGTCTCATGCAGAGACTGCACTGCTAATGCTGCATTAGTTAAGAGCATGCGTGCTGGACCCGGCTGGGCAAGCACCGGGCGAAGGTGACAGTGCATATGTGATCCTTCTTTTTCTCTACTGACAAACTCTGGGCAGAGTAGCCTGGGCTCATTGCACCTCCTCATTTGAGTCTTGGTACCACGACTTACAAAGTCTTGCTTCTCTCTGTGCCTCATTTTCCCCCTTTACAAACTGGGGATGACAGTAGCACTCACCTCATTGGGTTGCTGTGAAGACTGAATAAGATGATTCATGTAAAAACCCTAGGCCAGCGTTTGGCACTTATAATGCACTCAAGAAATGTTGGCTGTTGTTGTTGTTTTATTAGTTCGGTTGAATTTCATCATGTGTTGCACCAGCAACGAGGGGAAGACTGCCGGGCTGTTTGCCACGTCCAGCGAAACAGCCAGCTCATGACCACTGTGCTTTATTAAAGAAGCAGAGTCATGGGAATTTATGAATGTGGAATGTAGAGAGAGTCCGTAGCGTGTTTGGACAAAGCATATTTTGTTTGCTTTAAAGAAAAATCTGCTGAAATTTTCAACTCAGATTCAGCACGGCTGTTTTAAATGCCCCAGTCCAGCTCCCTTCCTGGACGTAGACTGCCGGGCGTGTTTAGTGATGCCAGTCTGCTTTTCCGCACGCGTCGCGTCGTGCCCCCGTGCGGCAGGACAGTTCTGGTGACCCCCTCCCCGAGCCTCCTCTCACCTCCTCAGCGCCCTCCTCCTCAGGGTGTGATGTCATTCTGGGCAAACGAGAATTCATCTGAGATACTTTTAAGGGAACTTAAGGTCAGATTAGAGAGAAGCTATTATGAAAGACTTGAGAGATTTGGTGATGATGGACTAGAAAAACAGTCAAAATGAGTAAATTTCTTTAACTTTTATCTTTATCTTAATGAAAATTTTTCTTAATGTTCTTAAGTCTTTCTTTAATGCTTAATGAAAATTAACCCAAATTTGCTAAAAATAAATAAATAAAACCAGACAAAAACTAGATACAAAAACCCTACTACCATCGGATCTGATAAAATACACTCCTCTGGCTGTGTGTGTGTGTAGAGAGCAGATCTCTGACCGTGTATCTTTCACTAAGGCGGTTTCTGAGTGAACGTTTTGGTTACTTCATTATGTTTGTCTAATTTGCAAACCAGTTGTGCTTTTCTCCAGTCTGATGTTAAAGCCCATGTTGTCGGTTAGATACCACAACTCGGAGGCTGTGTGATATTTGAATACCTCGTTTTTAATGTATTCTCCATGCTCTACAGAGTCTCCAGCGTCGTCAGTGATGTGCTGAGTGACAATCGGCTGGAAAGTGGGCAGGGGCCGGGGGTGGGGTTGGTCTTGCCGGCAGGAGTGCCCCTCCTGTTGACTGTGCTGTTTTCTGTTGCTCGCCTAACTCTTGGCTGAGGTCATTTGGGGTCCTCTAGATGGATGGCTTTTGATTCACTCCTCATTCTTGTTTACTGGAAGAGCAAAACCCATCACATCTCCTCTTTACATCCTCAGGTTTAGAGTTACAAAAGTGGAACACAAATCCAATCAGAAGGAGCGGCGAAGTTTGATGTCAGTTGGTGGGGCTGAAAGCGTCAATGGGGAGGTGCCTGTGACACCTGTGAAGAGAGAACGAAGTGGCACAGAGTAGCAGGTGAGTTGTAGTCTGGGTGACATTGGGGTGGGGTGGTGCGTGGTGGGGAGAGGGTACTGAGAGTCCCTCTGGGGTGTGGGGGAGAATAAGAATGACTTGGCAGGGAAATGAGAACACTTTCCTTCAACTGGCTGGACTGGAGAGGATTGAACATGATTCCTTGTCTGTCCAGAGATTCTTATAAAGACAACACAAACTGGGGTGCCTCCCAGGGCCTGGCCTGCATGGTAAAGAGAGAGAGGATTACTTATGAGGCAATGGGATTGTGGCAAACCAGAAATCACATAACCCATCTGTAGGGTTTGTACTGCCACAAGGCAGAAGGCACTTAATGTTGCTAAATCTTAGGCAAAAAAAGGTGGAAGTATAGACTTTTTAAATGTGAAATCACCACTGGTTTTTAAACATTAGCAGCATATTAAATTTTTTTAAAAACCCATGAAGACCAAATGAAATATAACCTTGTCATTTCTAGGTAAACCATGTTTTGTAAAAGGCTGGACCAGCAAGCTTCTTCCATTAATTTAGTTGGAAACCAGTTCTCTTTAATGTGCCATCGTTCTAAAATACTTTTAGTAGGAATATTACCCTTTCCACCAAATGTCTTGAAGCAATTTCAAAGCAAAAGTAAAGGCTTCTTGGTTTGGCAATTTTAATTTTGGAAGATACTGCTTTAAAAAAAAGCCTGTGGTCATTTGATATTGGCTTGGCTTTTATCAATCTTTTTTCTTTTTGTTCTGGCTTGAGTAGCATTCATCTTTTTCATGTTTCTTATTATACATAAAAGGGTGAGTATGAGGACTCTGGAGTGATCATGATCCAGAAGCTCTGATGAGAGCCCAAACTTGAAGGCAAGGGGGTGTGTGTGTCTCTGAAGGTCCAGGGAAATAGCAAGGTTGAACCTGAGTCCTGGAGTCAGGTGGCCAGGTCCAAATCCCAGTGTGCCATTCACTAGCACTGGAGCCTGGGCAAGGTGCTTTGGCTTTCTGTGCCTCACTTTCCTCACTGGGAAATGCTGCTGCCTGCCGCAAGGTGGCAGTGAGATTTCCGTGAAATAACGCGAGGCCCAGGGCCTGGCCGTGGGAATGCTCAGGCAACGCTGCTGATTATTATTTGTTCGTTCACTTTTGGTAGGTGCGGCTGAGTGGGGGGATGGAGTGGCTTTTGAGTGAAGCTTCTCTAACAATCTGCCCAGGCTTCGAGGGGTTGGGGATGACCCAGAGGTAATCTGGAAGAGCGTGCTCCTGAATTCTGTAGACACGGGCTCTGATAGCTTTCTAGTGCTCCTCCTTGCAGCCTTGCCTTAGAGGAGATCTGGCTCCTTCCCCTGAGTTTAGGAGCTGAATAGGGGCTTCCTTTATAGAAGAGAAATGGAACAGAAGTCTGTCTTTTGCTTCTCAGCCAGTTACTGGTGCTTTGGGAAGGCAATCGGGTATTTAGGGAAAGAAAAAGGATGATGAAGATAATAAAAGCAGCTAATGGCAGTTCAGTATTCTAGTCTTCTAGACATGTGATATGTATCTCACATGTCACCTTTATAAACATCTCCTATTGGAATGGATACTATCATCCCAGTTTAATAGGCGAGAAACCAATGAATGGAAATGATGAGCTTCATGTTCAGGGTCATGTAGCTAGAAAGAGGAGTTGATGTGAACCTGGATCTCTGATGACAAGACCAACTACACTCCTGTACCATCCTAGTGTGCTCATGAAGGGGCAGCCCTAGACCCATGCATGGGGAATGTTTCCACCAATGATCAAGAACCTCCTGGGCAGTGGCCACTTCAATTTAAATTAATTAAAATAAAAAATTTAGTGTGTGCCATATTGAGCAGTGCAGACATAACTATTCCATTGTTACAGAAAGTTTTATTGGACAGAGTAGATGGTACCATAGATGCTGGAATTGGAATCTTGAGTGACTTTGGTAAACTAGAGAAGCTTTCTGATTAAAGTCATGAGGACTTGTTTGGGTGGGAGGAGAAGTCTGGCCATTCAAGTCTAAGGTGAGGAAGGCCCAGCCAGTTCAGTTGCACAGTAAGCACGGGTTGTAGTGAGAGTCTGCACATGAGCATCAGCCTGACCGTGTGTTGAGAGATGGAACTGACCACTCGGAAGAAGGCATTGCTCACCTTCAGGCAGGAAGTGCAAAGGTCAGCCTGATCAGAGCCTTGCCAAGGTTCCCTGGCCTGGTTTGGCCACTGCTGCCTGGAGAGAGGAAGTCGAGATTCGGGGAGATTAAAAGAATTAGGATTGCTCAACTGGTTTTCTTGGTCCAAATTCTGCCTGTACCTAAGTATAGGAATTTGATCGAATCATCGGAAGTCCTGACCGCATTTAACAGGTTTAAATTTGTTGTTCCCTGGAAAGCACATAACCATCCACCAGGATTTTGTAAGAGAGCACCGACCTTGATGAGAAGACATACGCTCACATCCCATCTTCCCCACCAGGAAATGGTACTTAGCTGCCCTATTCCCTGTGTCCTTGAATGTGAAATAGGATGTCAAATTTATTGATTAAGGCACGTGCCAAGAGGGTGTCTGGCATGAAGTTGGCTCTCAGCAGCCGGGAGTCATATTGTGTTGTGCCATCCAAATCAGCACACGGATGGCTTAGAAAGGGAATGTGTTTTCCTAGCCCTCAACTGGTAATTAATTCTGAAGTTAAAATAAACAATTTTTGTTGTGGAAATTTTCATACAAACTCAAAAGTAGAGAGAATACTATGAATGTTCACGAGTCTTGGAGTAATTTAATTATAATACCTACTGCTTATTGAGTATTTACCAAGTACCTGGCATGCTTTGAAAGGCACATTCCATGCATCATTGACCTTTAAAAAAATGTATGTAGCCCAGCCAGTGTGGCTCAGTGGTTGAGCATCGACCCATGTACCAAGAGGTCACTGGTTCAATTCCCGATCAGGGCACGTGCCCAGGTTGTGGGCCTGGTTCCTAATGAGGGGCATGAAGGAGGAGGCCAATCGATGTTCTCTCTCATCGATGTTTTTATCTCTCTCTTTCTCTCCCTTCCTTTCTCTCTAAAATAAAAAAAGAAAAAATAGTTAAAAAAATGTATGTATTCATTAAAATTCTTTCTGCTGGTCTTTATATTTCTCATCCCCAGAAAGAGTATGTTTAGGATACGTAACATGACCTGTTTTTCGGAGAAGGGAGATCCTGAAGCTCTCCCTCCGGGCCCAGATCTCTGGTTCTGGACCGAATTGAAAGATTTACCCTAAACTAGGATTACTACAGTGGGCCAGGAGTATTGTGTGTTTTTCATACAGTCTAATATAGTTTTCAGAGTGTCTTTTTTTTTCCTGAAAAAATGTTTTTGTTTGAATTTGGATTTTTGGCCAAATTATTTTACTGTAGTACCTTGTTTTATTGTAGAATTGATTCAAGTATTCAAAGTATATCTATTCTGCCCTGGCCAGTTTGGCCCAGCGGTTGAGGGTCTGCCTGCAGACCAGAGAGTTCCTGGTTCGGTTCTTGCTAGGGGCCCGTACCACAAAAACAAAACAAAACAAAAACAAAGTCTGTCTATCTATCTATCATCTATCTATCTATCTATCTATCTATCTATCTATCTATCTATCTATCTATCTATTTTAATTAGGTGGTTGGTACTAGGAACTAGACTTAGTATTCTAAACAGAATGTTATCAAGACTGGGGCAGGACTTCTCTCTTTCCTTTTTAAAAAACAAAATCAGTTGATTGGCGTCTCCTCCCCCCTTATTCCTCTCACCCTGTCTCCTTGGCCTTCGCAGCTAGATCTGACTTGCCCTCTGCCTGATTTATATTGGCAGTGCAGTTAAAATGGTTTCTTTTTTCCACAGAAAATGTGTTTTGATTTCTTCTTAGAAGAATACGCTTTTGTTCTTCAAAGTGGAATAAATCGAATAGCTTTCAGCCTGCAGACGCCACAGCCTTGTCTTCGTTATCACTGGTCTTCCACTTCTTAAAAATGACACTGTCGTGTCCTGCTAGGCTGGTTAGAGCGTCGTTCCATGGTACCGAAGGGTCAAGAGTTCAATTCCCGGACAGGGCACATACCTGGGTGGCCAGTTGGATCCCTGGTCAGGGCATGTATGGGAGGCAACCAATCGATGTTTCTCTTGCATTGATGTTCTCTCTCTCTCTCCCTCTTCCTCTCTCTCTTAAAAAAAAAAAAAAAAAAAAAATCAATAAAAACGTATCTGTGGGTAAGGATTTAAAGAAAAAGTTTAGACTTAACAAGCATGTGCTGAAATTGACTTTATTATTTTTTTTAAGTGACACTGTTGTAGGCATTCTGTATATCACATTTCTGAAGTATATACTCTTTCCCCCATATTATGGTAGTATCTTATTGAAAACATTGATTTAGAAAGTTTACAGAACAGTATTTTTTATTAAAAAATTCATAATAGTAGACATCTCTTTATTTTAAATTGTTTTATTGAAAATCTTTTATTAATTCTAATTTAAGTAATTTATTTTAGTGATTAAAAACTGAGTTTTAGCCCTGGCCGGTTTGGCTCAGCCGATGGAGCATCGGCCTGCGGACCAGAGAGTCCCGGGTTTGATTTCTACTAGGGGCACGTACTAAAAAAAACAAAACAAAACAAAAAAACCCTGAGTTTTAAACTGTTTCGGTTTAATTTCTTTCTTTCTTTCTTTTTGTTGCTTAGGTTTAATTTGAACTCTGCCACTAACTACCAATGGTTTTAAACACATTACTTAACCTCTCCAAGCCTCAGGTTCTTCATCTTTAAGATGGGGTTGTTGCTGGACTTAAATGTCATATGTATGTGGAAAGTTCTTAAATCTGTCCTTAGTATTAGTATTTCCTAAGTATTTACTATTATCAGTACTTTTCATTCCATTCTTGATGCCTTAGTTATTTATTAACCGATTCTCCAAGCATCAGCTTTAGATTCTGGGACTCCCTCTTTTTTTTCTTATGAACATTAAAGCTTTTTACTCTTATGACATATCAGAATAGATTT